TTCAGGTGGAAACGATGGTCATTTTAATATGAGTGTAGGGTGTTTAGATGCAAGCTGGATGGATGGATAGAAACAGAGAGTTTGGAAGATCAATATGTATCTGAAGATCATGGTTTTTACTGTGGTTTTTTTCCCCCCTCTCATAGGAGCCTTTCCAAGTGTCACAGAAGGACGGGCCAGAGTTAACATGGCATCGAGTTGTTTGTTGCATAATAAAGCTGCTGCAAGTGTGTGCGGACAACTTTCCCCACTGTGCACTAGGCCGCGTGTAGCCATGTGACTGAGATATCGGCCTTCTCTTTTCTGGGTACTGCACCTTTAATAGTAGAGGAATCGTGCTGGCTGCCAGCATCCTGGCTAGGGTTGCCAGGTGTCCAGTTTTCGACCGGAACACCCGCTCAAAAAGGGACCCTGGCGGCTCCGGTCAGCACTGCTGACTGGGCTGTCAAAATTCGGGTTGGCGTGGGGCTGGCAGGCTCCCTACCTGGCTCCGCGCGTCTCCCCACAAGCAGCGACATGTCCCTCGGCTCCTAGATGGAGGGACGGCCGCAGCCCCATGCACAGCCCCCACCCCGAGCGCTGGCTCCGCATCTCCCATTGCCTGGGAGCCGCGGCCAATGGGAGCTGCAGGGGTGGCACCTGAGGGTGGCAACAGCGTGCAGAGCTGCCTGACTGCGCCTCCGCCTAGGAGCCAAGGGACATGTCGCCCTTTCCCTGGAACCGGCTGAGGTAAACACCACCCAGAGCCCGCACTCCAAAACCCCTCCTGCACCCCAACCCCTGACCCAGCTCTGAGCCCCGTCCTGCACCCAAGCTTGGGGATTGGTCCTCATTTGAGCAGGGGGTTGGACTAGATACCTCCTGAGGTCTCTTCCAACCCTGATATTCTATGACTCTATGATTCCCTCCCAGAGTCTGCACCCCCCCAACACCCCAAGACCCTACCTCAGCCCTGAGCCTCCCCTGCACCCCAAACCCCTCATCCCCAGCCCCACCCCAGAGCCCGCACCCCTAGCCGGAGCCCTCACCTCTCCCACCCGTCATCCCCAGCCCCACCCCAGAGCCCACACCCCCAGCTGGAGCCCTCACCTCTCCCACCCGTCATCCCCAGCCCCACCCCACAGCCCACCCCCCCAGCC